CCAAAAAAAAAAAAAAAAAAAAAAAAAAATTGGTAGCACAAAAGGTAGCAATAGACTCTGACGCTCCATTGAGGCAGATATCTATTAGCTCTGTGGCAGTAGAGTATGGGCAGCCTGACCTACTTGCCCTCTCCAGCCACCCCAGGCAGGTGCTCTGGATGCTTGAGGGCCCCTCAAGCACCTGCCCAGCTTTCCATGCTTACAAAGAGGCACCCCAGGGAATCTTGGGGTGCCTCTCCATAAGTGGGGAAGTCGAAGTTCCCTGCATAGGCAGACTTGCTCCTGCAATTGGGGGGGATGGATCTGGCTGAACAGGGAAAGCAGGGCTTTCCCCACTCATCCAAATAGAGATTATATTGTCCCTTGTCCTCCACCACCAAGGGCAGGACAAGGGAGCAACGCATTTCGCCCACTGAAGCAGATAAACTGTGCTGCGACAAATTGGAGCGCAACTGATCTGCTTAATTTGGCAAAGTCTATTTCCAGCCTAATGTACCTTTTAAAATAAAACTGTTTGTCTGTTTCTAATGCTGAGCATATATTTGCACATACAGTGAATCACAGGAAGTTATCCATGAGAAAAGCCTTCCTGTTTCAAACACTGTCGGAATAAATATACTGAGTGACATATCACCTCCTAAAATGCTTTAAGACTAAATGACTGATTTTAAAAGAAATGGAAAAAATCCAGCTGACACGGCTTCAATGGTAAATACAATTAAAACGCTACACAACCATGTAAAGGCAAGTTGGTCTACTGAACATGGTTAAGTGGTGGGAATGCCCAATTTATCATTATGTAGCCAAGGACACATACAGCACTAATTTCTGCAGTGGCTTTCATCGTGGCAGGCAGGCACTTCACTAATAAACTACAAGGAAAAGGAAAAAGCAGATACAAATGTGCATGCAGGAATTCTTTCCGCCGCTTGATGTGTGGCATTTATATGCTCGATTTCTTTTTTATCGTCTGTCGATCAACTGCAGAAATATTCTGATTCCAGTGAACTGGGTAACACAGGTGAAAAAGATGCATTTATTTTGTCTCCTGTCAACACAGAGAGCTATAGAGAAGTTTCTGAACTACATTATGAATTTTAATTGATTTTTTTTATGCATCCTCCTTCAAAGTGACTATCACTTTGCTGCTTCATCTTAAAATGGAATATCTTTGTTCATGCCCATCAGCAAAGATGAATTGATAAGGTCCTACAAGTGCATTTTACAAATAAATTACCATATTTACTTGAATACAAGACAAGGTTTTTTCACCCAATTAGCATGGTGGGGGGGAGGTCCCTTGTCTTACATTCGCATACAAGGATACCTCACTAAATACACTGTCTATCATTGAACTGCTGCCAAAAGCAGCATGTACTCAGCAATGGAAACCAGCTATGAAGTTGATTAAAAGCAGCCAACACTGAGCATGACTATAAAACACACGGCCCATGTTGGGCAAATATACTGATGAGAATCTACCATAAGGATGGGTTAGTACAGGCCATCTGAATAAGGTATACAGTACTGCCCATTGCATGCAGTCCCCCTCAGTGCTAACTCTTTTCTTGGTGTGAAATGCTCAAAATTATCATCAAATTGTTTGTAAATGTAGAGATAATAAAAGCTACAGAAACAGATGGGATGAGGTGCTTATTGCTCACTTCTTGAACAGAAGAATGTTTTAGTCTTTTTCTATTAACACTATAGACACCTTTTTATCTTAATAAGGTAATTCCACAAAGATTAAAGTTAATGCTTTCATTGTACAGAAAGTGCAAAATAATGGCTTAATATCTTGTAAGTGTAGCTGGCTTTTTTGTTGGCCTGACTATTGCCAAGATGGAAAGTTTTCTGTTCAGAGAAAAAATATTGTAAATTTATGGACACTGATGAAATTACAGCATTGAACAGGGTAAGAGCAGACCTGCATATTAGTATGAACTCATACCTGTTTATGAGGACCCCTGAGTATATGTGCCTTGGCGCCTTCACAAGCCGTCCTCATTGCTTCCAGTGATGGTGTTCCCAGAAGATCTGTGATCAAATCCAACTGTAGATATATAACACAAATGTATACTTATCAGTGGATTCTGAGGTCAGAACAACAGATGCCTAAAGATCGACTCTAGTAAAAGTAAAACTTATGTTCGACAGCTTCTTAAGTATGTAGGTGATATTAACATAGACTTTTAGTCTATGCACTGCAATGCAAATGTTTTCAAATGGAATAAAAAAGCAAACATCAGCTGGGGGCATCTGACCACAGCGCTCTATGACCTACTGAGGTCCCTTCCGACCCTAATATCTATGAATCAGGTGTTTATTACACCAGATTTGGAAGCATCTCACATGGGTTTATTGACATGCTTCGAAGTAATTTTAAAAGCTTAGCTTGCTGTTTTATACCATTCGGACAATATCATTTAAGAGACGATACGCATACTGCAGAATGTTTGTTCTCGTTTGAGTCAACGCTACACTTCAATGCACTACAAAGAACAAAAGATAAAACGGGCCATATGTAAATCAGTATAAAATATTTTGGTGGCTACAATAAAACAAAGGGAACCATTTCCAAGAAGAACTTTGTACAAAACACTTGTACAAATCCCTGTTTTAAAGTTTTAAAATGTCACAGGTAAACAAGCATACACAGAAGGAAAATTTAAAGGAAACAAATCAAAAACATGAAAAGTGTCTTTACCATACCTTGTTTTACAACATTTTATTTTATATTCAAAATCATGACATGTACATCACTGAATATTTAGGCTATGAGTGATAAATTTATGTAGTCTTTCCTAAATGAATTCTTCTTGGACTTGCTATCTTTCCATCCAGAATTATTTAATCTCATCTGTACTATTACTCTTGTAAAAAAAAAAAGGTGTTAGTCTTATTTCCCTAAGTATGTGCACATATGCTCACATGTATGGCAAAAGTCATAGATAAATGCCAAAGAGAAATTCTTGGAAGGCAGTGGTGAGATTAGCACCCAAGTTCCAGGAGTTCCACTATGACCACTATGCACTTGAGCTAATGGAGCAACTGCAAAGCTTTCCCTTGAGTGTAAACCTGTTCTCATTGCAGACTGGTATGTATAAAGCCAACTCGCTTTGACGTTGAACACAAAACAAATGTGCTGATTCCTTACACAAATAATCTGTTGATCTTTAAAGATCCCAAATGTCCTGCAAAGGTTCCAGCCTACAAAGAAGTGTCTCTTTGCACACATACCACTTTTGCTAGGTAGTAGGCATGTAATCCACTGATACCCTGCCCTCTTATACAGTATCCTAATGTATAACCTTTGAGTATGGATATTTTGTGAAAGAGTGGAAATCAAGCAAGTGCATACAAATGCAAACAGCGAATGAGATGGGAAAAAAGCTAAACCCTGAGCTTTTTAAATATGGAAAGTATAAAGGAAAACCTTACCCCAGCCAGAAGTTTGGATAAGTAATCTAATCAACACTAGCAACATGGAACTGATTAGTCAGTGTCTCAGCTGGTGTGAAGTGATTTAATTTCACTTGCTTCAATAGAGTTATGCCCCAACAGAGGATCTGGGCCCAAGTCAACAGAGGTATTTCCCATAACATAAACACACTTATCAATAATCTTCCCTTTTTAACTAGGCTTAATGGCTCAGCATATGGATAAGTAGCAATTTTTTTTTAGATCACTGTTCTGAATTCCTGCAAGACACACAGGGAATGAAGGTTCACTAACAGTGCAGTGTCCAATCTGAAATCATTTGACAGTTCCTAAAAACAGGTGCTCACATTATAGAAGCCAACACTGCAATTAGAAGCCTCCCATGCTGTTACCTGGCAACTTGAAAGGAATGACAAATTCCCCAAAAATAAAGACTGGTAATAAACTGCATTAAAACACCAAGCTATGTGAGAAATGCCTTTTTTTTCTTGACTATTTTCAAGCTGATGCAACATACCATATTTTAAAAAGATGAGGGCTAACTGCTTGGTAAATTTTGATATCATTATGCTTTATTATCTCTGCGGAGCACACACTTGCATTACAAGTTCAAGTCCAATCAGTTTTAAACAGACACTAAACCTTAGCTACTATATCCCGTCTACTCAATTTCATAAAAACCAACTTCCCAGAAAAGAAACATTCTACATGTAACACATTTTTCTTATACCATGCCATTATAAATACTTAGCACTTGTGGGGAGCTCTTATCACTGAAGAGATTTACATGACTTTTCAAAAATAGTTAAAAGTAGCAAAACAGACAAAACATATTGGTATTCTAGAAATAACTGAGGAGCTTGTGTCCTGTAAACTTGGAACCAAAATTAACGAGCATTAAAACCATACGTATGCAAGATCAGGAGAGATCAAAGGTTACTTACTGGCTTCCTGACATTACTCTACCCTTGAATCTGTAGATTTAATGACAATTTTAATACTATCTGGACATTATGTTTACATTAACCAACACCCTTCTCGACAGCTGAAATCCTGTTTTCAGAAGCAACAGTTTATTTTTGATTCCAAATTTATACCCCACTCCTACATGGTGTGCTTAATATGTTCCTCCCAGGGGAACATTACAGTGGCAATATACTAGGTGTATTAGTCAGGACAGAGGAGTTAAGACAACACAAAATATTGTTATAGATTATTTTAGAATATCATTTTAAACATTAAAACCTTGAGAGCTGCATGAAAAGGGCATGTGCTTAAACTGTACAAGGACAAAAAACATTTCCCATTTAGGATTAGTACTTTTAATTCACGCAGCGTTACACAGATGTAAA